GGTAGGGAAGGACCGAGGCAGGGAGGCAGGCACGCAGGCAGGCAGGCAGGCAGGCAGGCATGCGTACAAGCAGGCAGGCGCGGGATCCTCCCCCTACATCTGCATGCGGCCGGCGTACATAGACAACCAATGCTCAACGAACGATACCCAGTAATAGCTAATACAGCTGATAACAATCTTACACACAGAAGTAGGCGGAGGAGGAGGAGTAGGAGGAGGGGGAGAGGGGGTCATGTAATGATGGGTTAGGGTGAGGGCGTGGGCGGGCCCACTGCCGTTCTAATAGAAACTGACGCGTGTGCGGCGAGCGCGGGACAAAAAGAGCGGCAAGCAGCCGATCTCTGACCTTCCCCTTGACCCCCCGTGACCCAACTGTGACCCCGTGACCTCCCCGTGACCCCCGTGACTCACCTGTTGATGGAGCTAACGCTCGGTATCGTGTCCTGGTCGCAGACGGCCTCGGCAAGCAGCCGATCGCGGATCTCCCAGGCGAACATCGTCGGGTTCTCGCGCTTGTACATGGCGATGGCGTCTACGACCTTGGGCGTGGCGACCTTCGGCTTGCTGCCTCCGATCACGCCCGGACGGATCGAACCCGTCTCGTAATATCTGCGGAGATAGAAAGAGAGGAGGGTTAGGGTGGTGAGAAAGAAAGAGGATGGCGAAAGAAAGAGAGAGAGAGAGGGGGGAGACACCTTCGGCTTGCTGCCTCCGATCACGCCAGGTCGGATTGAACCCATCTCGTAATATCTGCAGAGAGAGAGAGAGAGAGAGAGAGAGAGAGAGAGAGAGAGAGAGAGAGATGAGACGAGAGAGGTGAGAGAAAGAGAAAGAGAGGGAAAGGGTTAGGTTAGGGTGGTGTGTGGGGTTATGCGGGGAGGGGAGGGAAAGAAGAGTATCAGACTAGAGACACATCACACACACAGCGAGGAAGAGCAGCAGACGAGAGAGAGAGAGAGAGAGAGAGCGCGCGTGAGAGAGCGTGAAAGAGAGAGAGCGTGAAAGAGACAGAGAGAAAAAGAGAGAGAGAGCGCGCGCGTGAGAGAGCGTGAAAGAGACAGAGAAAGAAAGAGAGAGAGAGAGAGCGAGAGCGAGAGAGGGAGAGGGAGGGGGGAGATCGGTGAGTCTGAAAATTGATGACTGCTCAAGCGCCGAAATCTGGCTAGATCGCATATCCTTGTTCGCTTAATATTTAATCGCATTAAGTTTTTTTCCCAATATGGCGCAAACATCTGAGAGCCTCGTAAATTTCAGCTAGCATTAAGCAATATCGACCTCGCATAAGCGTACGTTCGCGTACTGCAAATTATGCAAGAAAAACCCGCGCAAATCAGATGCAAGAAATCGCAGGAAATTCGACGAGAAAAAATTAATTAGTAATGATCAGCCAAATGGTAATTAGCGCCAAATTTTTGTAGCGTCCTACAATTTATGCGGGTCCGTGGATAATCAGGGGCCTGTGCATGTGTTATAGGAACGTAATATATGATAAAATGTGTTATATATCGTATAAGTTGATACGTATATTGCTTAAAGCTACGTATACGCCGTATGAAATACATCATTCGTAATTCTCGTATATTATCGCGTGTATTTTTGCAAGTCATTGGTATCGTCATCGTTGTCGTCGCTGCCATGCATCATCACCTTGTTTTCCGCTAACGCCGCGCGCGCTCCAACATGGCGGCCATCGCGGCGCGAAAACGCCGCCGCGTTTTTCGATAAACCGTCTCTCGTCTGCCGACGACTTCCCCCCCGCGCGAAGCTCCGACGGTGTGACGTCACCAGGGGGCGCGTGCAAGCAGATAACGGACGAACAAAACAGGAGGCGGGTATTATATCACCACGGCTGCCGCTGCCGCTGCCGCCGCGTTTTTTCTCGCTTTCATTTGCCGCCGCGGTGCGCGCGTTCTCCGCGTTCGAGCTCCCGCCCGCTGCCCGCCGCTGCGGCATTCTAATTAAAATGTCGGCCATGAATATTTCAGCGCTTGTTTTTCGGCGCGATCGCAGCGCTCAAAAACGTTTCCTTCATTTTACGTTGTGAAATTTTAATTCCGCGGAATGAAAACCTTTGATGAATTATTGATGAGGGAGAATGCGAAGATAAAAGCTTCGGGCAGCCTCCGCTGGGAGTCGCGGCCAAAACACGCGCGCCCGAAGTAACATTAAATTGACATTTACACAGTCGGTTATGCGTGCGTGTGTGTGTGTGTGTGTGTGTGTGTGTGTGTGTGTGTGTGTGTGTGTGTGTGTGTGTGTTGTGCGTGCGTGCGTGCTGCGTCGTGTCGGTGTGTGTGTGTGTGTGTGTGTGTGTGGTGTGTTGTGTGTGTGTGCTGCTGTGTGGTGCTAACGCGTGTGCTGGCATGGCTGCCCTGCCGCTGCCTCTACCAGTGGCATGGCATGCGCTTGCATGCTTGCAGTACCTGCTTGCCCGGCCTATATGTCTGCGCTGCCTGCCTGTAATGTACTGCCTTTCTACTTGCCCTATCTCTTCTCCCATTCCGCTTACCTCCCGTAATCCTCTGCGCCTGCCTACCAAAACCCTGTCCCCGCTGCTCCTGGCCTGCACCCTGCCTCACTCCTCCTCCTCCTCTGCCTCCATTAACTCCCTCCTCGCCGTCCCCTCCCCCTGTTTCCAAGCCAGCTCGTTGTTTGTCACGGATTAGCTGTGCTGCTTTGTTACCGGCCGCGCATGCTCCTGTCGCCTCCCCTCTTTCCTCCTCCTGATAATTCACTCCCTCCTCTTCGCCCCCTGCTCCTTGCCTGCCCCGCTCCCGCCTCACCTCCTCGCCCTTCCCCCGCTGTTCGCAGCCACTCGTGTTTGTAAGCAAGGAGTTAGAGCTGTGGCTGGCTTGATCGCGGGCGCGTGCGGTCTCCGTGTCTGTTTATTGTTAAACACGTAAGGTGCAGCAATTAATTAGCAAACCAGCGCGTGGCGCTGCTGCTGGTGAAGAGGAGAGAGAGTTGAGAGGGGGAGGGGGCAGGAGGGAAGAATGAAAGAATGGAGGGAGGGAAGGGGGCGCTGTATTGCAGATGTGTGTGTGTGTGTGTGTGTTGTGTGTGTGTGTGTGTGGCGCGCGCGCGCCGCGTGTGTGCGGCGGGCGTGGTGTGTGCGTGTGTGTGTGTGCGTGTGGTGTGTGTGTGTGTGTGCTGCGCGCGGCGCGTGCATGGTATGTTGTTCTTAATGCCTCATCCTCGTCTTCATCCTCATCCTCATCTCATCCTCATGCCTCATACCTCATCCTCATCCTCATGCCTCATCCTCATCCTCATCCTCATCCTCAATCCCCATTTCTCATCCCACCCCCGCATATCCCACTCACTATCCAATTATCATCACTTGCCCCCATCTCATTATTTCCGCTCCGCCACCCTCCACTCGCGCCCGACCCCC